TACCCTCATATTTCATTTTCTCCCCTTTATTGCTTTTTTAGTTGTCCTCTGCTGGTTTTTAAAGGCTTCCCAATCGTTGTTTTCCCACTAATCTTCACCATATTGTCCAGTTTTTTTTTTTTTGCTTTTATGGTGTCCTGACTTCCCTTGTCAGAAGGAGCAATTAAAATTGGTAGACACAATGGACAAAATTAAAAGACATAGGTTATCACATTAAATGATTGCCAAGCAAATGTCATATACACTTATTCATTTTAAGAGTTATACAATTTTGTATTTGGGAGCCACTCTGTCTGGCCGTTTATCCTGTTTTAATTAATTGTTTGAACCTTTCTAACAAATGAATACGGTACAGGTTCCCAAATTATGGTCACACGTCCACTGCCTATCACGTTAGTGCAAAGTCACTATTTTGTTTACCACATGCTGGAGACCAGGGATATATGAGGAGCTACAAAACTTCCCATTGTTGCTTCAAGAATGTCCGTAGAGTTAAGCTTTGGGAAGGCAGAGCCGTTAGTCCAAATGTGTGTCTGTAGATATGTCCTTGAATTTTCCACATCCATAGGTCCTTCCTTGTGGTATTTCGTTTTGTCTGTGTGGTCATGGAAACCTGCTTAAAAAAAACTCAAAACTCCACTGTGGCTCCGGTTAAGAGCTCAATGTATTAATAATCTCTAACTATATTTGTAAATTTATAAACTCAGAATTTAGTTATGTCTATAATGCACATTTAGCAATACAAACATTGTGTAGTAAATTTTAAAGAAATTTGTTGTCAGCAGAAAGGATTAAATTGCCTGCTTGTTTTATTAAGGATTGGAACAAAACTTCCTCAAATGCAGGCAGTTGAGTCACATTACATAAATTATATTCTTAATATTTCCCAGATCAAAACGAAAACAAACTGTACAGTCTTTTCAGAGATAGTAGGAACTGCAGATGCTGTAGAATCTGAGATAACAAGGTGTAGAGCTGGATGAACACAGCAGGCCAAGCAGCATCAGAGGAGCAGGAAGGCTGACTTTTCGGGCCTAGACCGAGAAGGGTCTAGGCCCAAAACAT